TTGTCGAGGAAAACTCCACTAATCCCATGGCATGTGACAAACTTGTATATTCGTTTCTAATTATCGCCAGAGAAGAATAAACATTTGTCACTTTGTCATGTTGTAATTTCTTTTGCTATTAATACTGATAATATTTCACCCAATCATAAGAACCTGTTATTTGCGTTATAATGTCAATTGTTTAAAACTACGCGCATCTGTTTTGTAAGTTGTTTCATCATTTAGCTGCGTTCGTCTTTAGACGCGTGGCTTTTGTGTTTTGCTTTTGTTACTTAGTAAGTAATTTATTTTGAATTCGGATAATCTTCTCAAGTTAGAACAAAGAGTTTGATCGCGGTTTTAAGGGGCTAGATTTTTTCAGCTAAGTTTTGGTTGCTTTTCGTGATGATTCAAGGAACCTCGGCGCCGTTTGGAAAGCCTGTGAAAAGATCTTTCACAGCACATCATATTCGTATGTTTCCAATGTTTCACGACATAAATTCAGGAAATCTTTGTGGGATCGGCACCAAACTACACCATAGAATTGGCCGCGGCAAAGACAGTGAGAAAAAGGACAGCTACACAGAAAATGTTGAGCTATTGAGAAGCTTATCTCTCGCAAGTCCAAGAGGATTTTTATTCCGTTTATACAAAAATGAGCCGAGGAAATCCCCAAGTCAGAATGAAATGAGAATACGTTCAAAATCTGATCGTCGGGAAGATTTGTATACAGCTATTGCGGTTGGCAATGATCAGCGAAGTGATGTGTCTTCTATTATCCAGAATAGCATTTTGCAAAGAAGAAATCTGGCGCTTAAATCTGCAAGTAAACTTAAAGAGCTGCGCATTGAGGGAGCAAATAAATTTACAGTAACTGCTGACAATGATTCTAAGAGCGAATGTTTGGGTGTCTGCACGTCGTCTGGAATTAGCTTGAAAGGAAGAAAGCAGAGAAGGAATCTTTCACCGCTGTTACCAAAACACCGCAGAAAACACGATAGCTCATTGCAACAGACAACAAAATCCGTGAGTAATAAAGTGTATCCTTCGCTTAAGATAAACTGTAATCAGATATTTCCAAGGCAACCAGAAGAGAAAATATTTCAAAACCGAACGAAGGAAAAGCTCAGAGGAAGCGATGACCAAAAATGTGAGAGGGAAGCAATTGACAATGAAGACGCTAGAGTTCTTTCGAGAAGAACTCACAAAAAACGCACCATAAATGTATTTCTCCCGAATATTTTAACGGACCAAGATTTTTAACTATTTTTGTTATTCACAAACTGTCAGCAGAGTAAACGAGAAAGCTTCTTTGTTCAGCAGGTGCATGTGCAGTGAAATGACGTATCTTTGAAATGAAAATGTCGAAATTGACATTTCGAGATAAAGGAAGTCAAACAAGGCTATGCTAAGTCTGGTAGATAACATTATATACAAACAATATTAGGACGTATTAACTTTAACGTTTGGATCAGATAAGTTAGCGTCAGTAAGAAAGTTAGGCCTAAGAGAAACGTTGATCTTTTCTCGAGCGGATCTCAGTTTTCGAGTGTCGACTAAGCCAATTTAAACGAAATAGACCTGTTGAATTAGACAACGAACATTTAGTGCCGTTCTATATAGCCGTTCCAGTCTGTATAGCCGTTATATACACGATTCCAGGATTCTTAGCGAACTCAGGAGGAATAACACGTCATCACGACCTTTTGCATGACTTCCGCTCAGGCCAATTTCGGCTTGCAAACCAAAACCGTTTCAAAGCCGTTGCTAAGTCGAAATTCCTGGCTAGGCGGGAAGAGTCGTTCTTGGTGTAAAGGCCAGCTGTTCATATTTATAAATCAATTTATTATTAGTAGAACTTCTGGTCATCATTTGACCAACGATTTCCTGTTTTTCTAAGCCGCGGCGAACGCGGCGATCGGAAAACGAAAAAACATGCGCAGTAAGGCAAGAGGACTCTAGGGTGGACTGGTATTGAATAGCCACAGAATAAACCATGTACAAAAGTGAGAAAGAGGGTCATTATAAGCTTCTAAATAAATTGTGGTGCTGCGTCGGTGGGGGAGTATACAAGAACAAGATAATTTGGTCTTATTAACTGAGTTGATAATGTAAATTGGCAACCGGAAAGAGTTTCTAAGCTGATGTATCAAGCGTTTGCCCTTCGTCAGAGCGAAAGTTTGCTCTGACGAAGGGCTTGGGCTAACGCTCGCAGTGCTTAGAAACTTTTGACGGGGGCCAATTTACATTATAAACTTAGTTGATAAAACCATAAACAAAAGTAGACGAAGATTTAGAACCGGCGATTTGTATGTCAGAATGAAAGAAGAATGATTCAATTATTGCCGAGGGTGAATTTCTAGTCGCCGAATCTTTATACTTTTCGGAGTTTACTAAGCAGATTATTTAGTTTTTCGGTTATTACACAGTTGGATGCAGCATCAAAGCTGAAATGGCTATTCCAACATGATCAGGTAATCTTCTTAAACTGTTCAAAGAAGTCAGGTTAAGGCATTTAGCGGTAATCTTGTTGAAACGAGATTTTTAACAGAAAATCGTTCAAACGTTTTACAAGCTTAGGACGGGATGAAATTTGATTAACTGTCCTTTAATTTCAACCATCCTTGCCAAGGTTTGACTCACTCGTCCTTTTTTCTCTGTTCTTCGCTTTTATGGTGGTCCCCTTTATACATCTAACGTTATCTTTCACGTTATTATCGAACATCTAAAGTGATTTTCTCTTTTTACACTTCCAGAAGATCAAGAAATAATCAATTCTTTGACACGAATTTTGCTTCAAACGAACATCTTATCTGCTTCTCAGGGGTTCGTTTTTTCACCAAAAAACATTGACAGCACGCAAGATAGATGTCACATGACCGTTTTCAAGCTAAAGAGTAACGCAGAGCGTAATAAAAAGCTAGATCGAAGGAAGTTTACAATATATGCGTTTCAGTGGAGCCCCTTGTGGCACACAGTGCACGCTCTGAGCTGGCTTAACCTCAAATTGTTCACGGGAGAGCAGTTTCGCCTTGAAAAAGAAAATAACCCCTCAATCTGGCAGTGGATTACGCTTATAATAAAAAAAATATAGAGGATTAATGCCTTAACTTGATCTTCTCTCGGTTAACTTTAAAGCCCGTTGTTGATTTTGAAATTGCGTGGAACCCCCAGATCTCGTCTTTTGAAACCTATTTATCCTAATATCCATTTTAAAAGGAAAAATGATCTAGAAAACTGCTTTCAAGGTCAGATTGAGTCAGTGCTTATTGTAGCGCTTTCGAGAGTCAACACAATTTTTTTTAATTTCAAGTCTCGTAGTTGCCGACAAGGATAAAGCACTCAAAGAAAGATACTCACACAAAGGGTCTCTAGTGTTATCTATAACTATCGGCTTTATTGTATGGATCATTTGTCGCAAATCAGAAAAGCGCAGAGTAAATGAGAAAATAATTAATCATGTTAATGTACTTCTACTCCTTATTACACAGAAGATCCGACTGATATGAAAGTTGGCACAGATGAACTCAAAAGATAATATTCTCTCCTCTTTCAATGCCTCAATACGAGGAACACATATTTTTCTGCGCTGAATCATTTGATGATGATAGAAAGATATTTTCGAGCAACATTTGGGCTTAATTGCCACAGACTTGGCTCAGTTTATCCACAAAGGATTGATTTCGAAATAATCTGTTAGACTTTACGAGTTTAAGTCACCGTAAATGGAAGCGACAACGCCGATTTTCCGGTTTACGGCGCCTTCTCAAAGAAGTGGACAGGAAGCGAATAATTAAATTACAGTTTATTGAAGATAACGGGTCTTTGTTTTGACTGCACTCCAGTTACTCGGAAATAATTGAGTGTGTACATGAATTAAGCAACATTTCAGTAAAATGAATTAGCTGCCTTTGCAGAATTATCAATTTCGTAGCTCTGATATAATTTAGATATTCAAGGCAAGTTCGAGTGCAAATTACATCCACTTTCAATCCCAGCCAATTTTGGAATTTTTACAGTAAGACTATTGCACGTAGAGTATACTATGCGTTTAGATAACTTCGGAACCTAGACGAGTTTAAAGTTCACCAGTCCTTAAAAGATTTCAGTTTCACGTCTTACAAGTGTCTCGCGGAGTTACTGGTTGAACGCGCGCGGCAGAGTTGCGAGCCTGGGTGTGAACACACGCAAATGTTATCCTCTCCATCCTCTCGAGCGTAATCTACTTATTTTGCGGGAGACGGCGAGCGGCCAAAAAGTCTTACCGCTGCAAGTAACTGCACTCGGACCGAGTCTGTACTATTTACTTGTAACTGCTAGTTAACTACAGTTAACTGAACTCGACTATAAAATCTGAAGACAGATTTGGTGCAGACTATTCCAGTGAAAGCAGGTAATTTAGAGTTAACAACTGAGTTGAAAACGTAAATTGGCCACTGTAAGGAGTCAAAAGGCTAACGTTTCGAGCGTTACCCTTCGTCAGCCCTTCATCATCGCTCTGACGAAGGGCTAACGCTCGAAACGTTAGCCTTGTGACTCTGAACGGTGGCCAATTTACGTTTTCAACTCAGTTATTAACACTAAATGACCTGCGATACTCTCTCATTGACGCAGCACTACTCCCTTTATTCTGGTGAAAGCTGTGTTGTTAAGTTCCTCAACGGATATACCGTTCATTCTTTCGTGAATCCTTGTCATCAGTATTTTGACGGACAAAAAGTCGTTTTAGACCTCGTAAAAAAGAAAAGAAAAACACGAATACATAGAATAAAAGGTTTGATGAAAGGCATCATCGAAAGCTACTTTTGTGCAAGAGGAAAGATTGGTACAATACATCAAAATCATCTTACACCATGTTCACGAACCCTGATATTTTTTAAAACCATGAGTTTGCAATTAAGATGAACTGCAAAGATGAAAGGTGATCACTATTTAAGAGTTTCGAGTTTCTAGAAGCTTCTTGACTATGGACAACATGTTGCAACGGCCAGTTTGAAATAAAAATGTGCTCATAACTGGTGATAAGGATTCGGAATTCGTACTTTCAAGAGTTCTTATTTGACCACAAATATATGCTACTGAGATATTGATGTAAGGAGAAACAATAGGAAGTTCTTTAAACCAACTATCGATCAATCATGTTTACGGAATACAGGTAATACTATAGGTTTTTATAACATCACTTTAGCTCTTACGAGGATCCCAATAACGACTTGAAAGCTTTCATTTTGAGTGCCGGGTACAAAGTGTGGTATATCACATTCCACAACTCTGATGTAACTATAATTGAGTTTACCTATTTTAAGTAATTCTTGTTGTTCAAACCTGGAGAACTTTTGTTATTTTCTGACAAGTTAAGACTTGTCTCACAAAGACACACAAAACAAAACAAATCATTCAAATTGTTGACGGGGTCTCCGCCCTTCTGACCAAACAGTGCGTAAACGGAAACTAACTATTTCCTTGTTTTAAAATCTTAGCTGAAGTATACAAAATTAGCTCTGATTCACGAGCTAAAATTAACTCGAATATGAAATATCGAAAGGGAAATTTCTTCAGCTTCAAGAGTGGTTTTACGGCTGGTACTTGATTGTTTTAAGTGTTTGGACGATAACAGGAACCATTAATTATAGAAATGGGCGCTTGGCGATAGAGGAATACTTACGTTCGGGTAGCAGCAAGGTAATCAGTTTATAAATTGGTGCTTTCAGGCAGACAAATTCGTTGATCTGGCCGTTTTCCAGATATCATTGAGACAGAGCTTCAATACGGTTATTCAGTATTCTCAGACTGACAAAAATCATTACGTTGCCAATAACAATGCTATCGACGCACAAATATTAGTTTTATGTGATATTTAAGCTGATACGAAAGAGGCACTTTCGCTCAATTTAACTTTGTAGAACTGCGACGTGAAGAATGATTCCGGACTAAAGAGTTTAGAAAGCAACCTTTCTAGTTAAATTCGAGTTGGCTTTCGCCCTAAACTTTGATTTTCCAAGACATCACGAGAGCACGTAGGGATCACTTCATTTTCAACTTCTTCTAATTATTGATTGTTCTATAATCCTTTCTCCGGAACTCGGTACTTTGTACCTCATTTCCAAGACAATTCCATATCCGGTTTCTAACCAAAGGCGGCACTGTTCTACTTCGCACCGGAAGGTCAGGTGCGACGAAATTTTAATTCTAGCGAGTTCCGATGTTACGAAGAATCGAACTGTAAAACGCGATGAAATTTATCCCTACATTACTCTTCATGGATATTTATGCAGCCATCTTTGAATACACAATCAATGATTCTAAGCTAAAAACTATTTATCACATCGAGTGAGTCAAGTCGAGCAAGGTGTTAGTCGGAAAGCTGAGGCAAAACATAAACCAGTCACTTAGCCCCGGTAAGGTTAATTTTGTCACGGTAAATTATCCCTGACAGGAGAGGGGTAAAATAAGGTTTGCCGTTTCCATTGTAAATGAAATGAAAGTTGTTCAACATGACTGAAAGTTACAAAGGCATTGCAGGTTGAAGGGAAATATCAATCCACAGAAGTCCCTATGAATGGTTTGATTTATTTTATTTAATTTGATGTTACCACCCTAACAGATTTATTAACTACCCCTCCCCTAGACAGATGTAGTTTGAAGTCCCGTGCTGCTTCCCGTTTAGTACTCGCGCTTGCTAGTGTTATGGTCGGTCAGCGCAGCGGCTGATGATTACGGCCGCTCATTGTCCTTCGCCTCTTTACTTTTTCTATCCTAGAAGGCTTATGTGGCAGTGTATACTCATGATTCATGTGAAAAGATAACAGTCGGTTTGTAAAATGCCTCGAAAGCGTGGTGTGGGCTGTTTCGGATCTCGCTCAAACCACCCCGAAATTCGCTATGGCATCGACCATTCAAAGGGAATGCAGACACTTCAGGAGTTTTCACAGCCGATGCCTGAAGAAAGCGAACTCAATGCTAAGTTCGCAGAGATTGTGGTAAGTGAATAGAGACTTTAAGTTTAAGCTGGAATTGTTTCCCCAAATTGGAGAAGTTATTCAGCTTCATGGTCATTCTTTTCTTTGACATTTGTCAAGGAGGCGTAGGCAAGTATTTCGATTAGATTTGTTATTTATAATTCTTACATCCACGTGTCAGAGGCCAAAATATGGAACTTTCTCGAACCTTATTGGATCAATAGTTTTTTTTTCCTCTCGGAAGAATAATGAAATAGAGAAGAACAAATTCATGCTTTGAAGATTCCACGGAATTATTCCCAATGGACTTGAATTAAGTGCTTTTGGCATTACAGATCGTCGTTCCTTTCACTTCGTACTAGTACTTCAATAGATCTATACAGTTCATTTATAAGTCTTATCTAATATGTAATATTTGAAATTTCTGACGCGAAATTTGCCTATATGTCCCTCTTAGAAGCAATCTGCTCTGACTAATTCTACTGGAGTCAAATTTCTCCAATTCCATGTCCCTGACAATTGTTTATGTTAATAAATTTATCCTGCGACCTCAAAATCATTTCCGACTTTTTATGAATTCAGCTTGCCAATGAAGTTATGTATCCTGACATTGATTTCGTTGTGATTAAATCTTTGATTAGTTATTGTGAGCATTGCCTTTCGAGTAAATCCGTCGGTCATGCGAATTGATCATTCTAAATGTCTTGATTTCTAAATAGAAAATCGATATTCCTTTCGCGTGCATTCGACCTCTGCCACTCGATGAGTTCTTCCTTGAAAAGAATGTTTTTATTCGCTTCGCTCTATTTTTCACGAGTTCCAAAATCAGTTATTAATAGCATTTCTTCTCGTTTCTTCCTAAAAATAAAGCGCAACTGTTGTGAACACGGGAGGTCTGTTGTCTGATTCTTTAAATCGCGTCAAGTAATTTTGTAGTGGTGTACAATTTTAGTCAACATTTGTTGAACCGCCGACGATATTCTAGAAAACTTGTTTAGAATTAAAATGGCCAAAATAAACCACACAAATGTATCAATTTAAGGAACAAGGGAAGGACGAGCATTGCTTTTAATTTAATACAAATATTTCGTATCAGAACAGTGTCGATCTCGATTATTTTTTATCAATATTTGTCCGCGTTTTATTCATGTTCTTCAGGAAGAGCTTGACCTCACTGCAGTTCACAAGAAGGCCATGTTTGAATTACCTCCGGAGAAAAAATGGCAGCTCTATTTGTCTAAAAAGAAGGTAAGATCTGGATTTTTCTTTCCTTCCGATACCTGTTGATTCACTCCTTGATATTGGAGGACTTCGTATTTACACAATATTAATTCAGCAATGTTAATTTTTAATGAGGTCCGCGCTTGACGACGTAGGCCGGTGATACGCATACGCAAGTCCTAATAACTA